GCAGACAGCAGAGGGATCAGAGTAGAACCACACTCAGTGCTTTTAGGTTCAGATGAGTACATGCTATAGAGGGACATGTTTTTTTTGTTTTTTTTTTTTCATTTTCCACATTTGTTGTTTACAACCACTTTAACTGAAAATGTAGTTAATGCACCCTTGAATGTCCCTCTTGTCCTCATTACATAGTAGCATGAATAAATACATAAGATCAGACATAGCTGGCATCCTCTGCTTTGTGTTCTACATCTTTAATCTCCTACTGTAGGATGAGATGCAACTGTACATGCCCTGGCTCAACCATGCACTAAAACATTCTGTGCAGATATGCTGTCATGAGATGGAAGAGGGGACATTTGGGAGTAATTGAATTTAAGTTAAACTTTGATTGCAAATTATGTCCTGACTAACATTCGATAATTATTTTGTTTCCATTTTTGTTTTTTTTTTAGTTACATATTTCGTTTAAGCTGCACTCGTCTTGGTCAGTGGGCAATTGGATATGTTACAGGAGATGGCAACATTTTGCAGACCATCCCGCATAATAAACCACTTTTCCAGGCTTTGATTGACGGTTTCCGGGAAGGATTGTAAGAATAGCCTATTGCTAGGCTAATTTAATTTGTCAGTTCATGCATACTTCATTTTTCCCTTAGGTTTTTTTTTTTATGATCCCCGTTTGTGTTTGCTTGTAGTATTTTCGACCATTGTAAAGTTTTACTTTTTGTCCAACTCTGCATACATGTTCTTGTGTAAGAAAAAGAAAAAAACTAGCATGTGTATATTTATATCTATAAAGATAAACATGGCCGTATAAATGTAGTAAGGCAGCGATATATAGGCCGGTTCAGCAGGGACCAGCAGAATTTTGATCAATGTATTGACAGGCTGGTTGTACAGAGGTTGATCTATCTGTCAGAATATAAAGGCTCTGGCAGGGATCCCCGATCCACAGTTAGTGTGGGAATGAGGAAATCGGCTAATTTTTTTTGCTTGTTGAAGGGGAAAAAAATGAATAATGTATGGCCAGCTTTATTCTGATTTTACTCCTGTACTTGCAGCTACCTCTTTCCTGATGGTCGCAACCAGAACCCAGATCTGACAGGATTGTGCGAGCCCACCCCTCAGGACCACATCAAAGTTACTCAGGTACATTTTTATAGGGAGACATTTTTATTATACAGCTAGTTTCTTTACTTTTATTCAGGCAAACAGGTAGGATATTTTGATTGGTTTAAAATACGACTTTTAGGAATCAAGGTAAAACTGAGGGTAGCAATGCAGAAGCAGCCATTGGTGACTTTGTTTAAAGACAGAGGATTTGGACTGCATTCCTGTATCTAGCATTATTGCCTATCAAACTGTTCTGGGATAATTATACAGGTTGAGAGTTTAAGATTTTTTCTAACTTTACTGACTGCATGCATATTCCAGGTTAGTGACTTGGGTAGTGAAGCCGAAGTCTGTATTGACTGCCCTGTTGCGGTCATCTTCGGTAGTGACTTTAAAATTAAAAAGCAAGTTATAATTCTAATTTGTAACCTGACTGCACATTTGAGTGTGGTGAGAAGGTAAAAAATGAGTCTTGTTTTCTACTTTTATGTAAATGTACTGTATCAGGTGTGTAAGTTTTAGAAACTTCATCAAAATTGTTTTATTTTTTCCCCCCAGGAGCAGTATGAGCTGTATTGTGAAATGGGCTCCACTTTCCAGCTCTGCAAGATATGCGCTGAAAACGATAAGGATGTTAAAATTGAACCATGTGGGCACTTAATGTGCACTTTGTGCCTCACCTCCTGGCAGGTTAGTGTAATATTTTTTGTTGTTACATCTTAAGTAATCCTGAAAATCATTGCCACTTGCTGATACCTGTGAACTCTTTTTTGTTTCCAGGAATCAGAGGGTCAAGGCTGCCCCTTCTGCCGTTGTGAAATCAAAGGAACAGAGCCTATTGTCGTGGATCCTTTTGATCCTAGAGGTGGCAGTATGGCAGAAATGTTGCGACAATGTCTAGATGGAGCACCTTCTCCTTGTTATGAAGATGATGATGATGATAGTGGGAATGACTCTCTCTTCATGCTGGCAGGGTCCAAGGTTTGTTCTAAATGTATTCTTCACAAAATTGTTTAAGTGATAATATAGAAAGTTGCTTTCTGTGTGAGAGCTTGTTTACACTTTTGCAGTCTGAGTGCCAATCAAAGTACCTGTCACTAGATAAAGTTGTAAGCTTACAGTCCTGTGTACATGTTGCGTTTTCTTTGTTTCAACAAATATACCAAACCAGAGGATCAGGAGAGCTGGGGGTTACTACTGAGTGGGGCATCAACAGAGCTGAGGGTATTAATAAGCTTGGGGATCTCCTGAATGGGAGTACAACTGAGCTGGGGTTCTGCTGAGCCCCTTTAACCACCTCCCGCCCGCTATATAGGAATATGACGGACGCAAGGTGGTTCTCTCGTTTCTGGGAGGATATCATATGACGTCCTCCCATTCTAACCACGCAATCGCGGCTCCCGGAGCACGCGGCGATCGGCAGTGCGCTGGACACAGCGGATTCACGATCCACGGAAAAAGCCGAAGATGCCGGCTCGGTCATGTGATCAGCTGTGTCCAATCACAGCTGATCACATGTAAACAGGGAAATGCCAGTTATTGCCATTTCTCTCCCCACGAGCTGTCACGCTGGTTGTAAGCTTGGGATGGTGTTTTTGCCACGCGTAAACATATCCGGTGGTTGAGAATAGTGTGGAGCTTGATTCTTTGAACCATATTACAGTCTTCCATTGATCAATAGTCCACGATTTATGGATGTGCACCACTCTTTCTTCTCAGCATTAATATCGGTCACTAGTGGTTTGCCAATTGCAGCTCGCCTGTGAATGTTTTGCTTGTCTCCCCTTCACACAGTTTTTATTGACACAGGCTTTGGAAGACTGAGATTGAGCACTGCAGTCACTTTTGCAGCAGTTGTTTTCTTATTCTGGGTCACAATTCTGCGCAATGTCCTTTTGTCTCTCTCGGTCAGTTGACTGTGTTTATGCTTATCAAAACACGTTTTCCCAGAAACTGTATATGCCATCATAACCTTTGATACTGTACATTGCAACATGGCAAATAAATTGTCAACTTCAGTCACAGAGGCACTAGCTAAGTGACACCAACAATTTGCCCTCTTTGAAACTAAGCGCTGATATGACTCTGTATTACTAGCAGCGCACACTGAATGACGAAAGTGAGGCTTCCCACCTGTTAGGTAGGTGTCTCATCACACAGCAGAAGCAAAAGAATGTTACATCACTTCTGCTTTCAACACAAAATATGTTGTCACTTTCACATCTGCAAATCATGTAGTGTTTCCATATTTTTGATATGGGAGGTTGATAAAGGATTGTTTTGAAACGTGTCTCTGTGCCTTGGGGTGCACAGAGATGACAGCAAAAGGCTTTTTGCTTTTGGACTCCAGACCTTGCAGCAGCTCCATCCATCTCTGCTGGCAGTGCCATTTCAACTTCAGCTGATGCTTTCCTCAGCCAGTGGCCAAGACAGGAATCAAGGATAATTTATACACTGGCCCTGGACCTATCCTCCAAGCCACCAGACAAGCCTCTATAGTCCACAGTTGTTTGTGAGCGCAACCATTGATTTTATTTTGGCCATTAAACTGTTTTACACATTCTACACTATGAGGTGTGCGCTCCTCTCTCTCTCTTTTTTCTTGCTTTCTGACCCCTGTACTTCCTGGAATCGGTCTGCCCTTAGCTCAGATATGCATGCAAGAGGGTGGCTTCTTTTAGCAGACCCCTCTTCTCCCTCTTTAAGACTGATGGAATGTATGCCCTTGTTTGCCTAGGCCTGGAGAAACCATGAAATACCTGAAGAAATGTAAAAAAAAAAAAAAAAAAAAAGTTTGAAACCAGTAAATGTGCTAAACCTTCCTATCTATTTTCTAATGCTAGCAGCATAAGGATTAAAATAGTCATTGTTGATTGAGAGAGTGAAGTTCTGCTTTACGCTGGTCATAGTCAGATTGAAATTCATACAGCTAACCAGGGATCAGATGAGTTTTTTGATCATTGTGGCCATACCTGCTCAACGGAAGTTGATCAAATTCTGCTGAAGCGGCATGTTCAATAGTTTTTGTCAATTGGCGCCTGCAGCTGCTAATCCGTGTTTTCTGACAACTGCAAGTCCGACTGTCAGAGTACAGTTTCCCGCCTGGGGGGGTGCTTCTTCCATCCACCTTGCTTGGTGTAAGAATCTACACCGTTGGCTGAGCAAAAAATTGTCTCTGGCTTAGAATTTCATGTGGAAGTCAGAGATGAGCAGGTGTATATTACCTGAAATCATTGCAAGACATGAGGCGTTTAGGGAATTCCCTGTCGTCTTATATTCCATGCTGAACCCAAATGCCTGTGCACACATTACCAGGTTTCATTTCTGCCTGTATACATACCTTCTTAGGGCTGTGATTGTGATATCTTTTGCATATCTGATTTTGTACAAATAAAAATTCCAGTTTATTTGGCTGATGTTTAGAATTCGTTTGAATTAACGTATTTTAATAGTATTGTACAGGACACAGGCAAATTATTCATAGGTCCTGGGTCATAGGCTCGTACTGTCAGGTGATTGAATTAACGGTTTAGAAGTTTAAAGTAATGAGTGTGTATATACTTCACATTGTTTTTAGGTTGAAAGACCCCCTTCACCAATGTCTGCTGCCCCACAAGCTGCCCTACCACCTGTGCCACCTCGTTTAGACTTGCTTCATCAGAGGGCTCAAAGTACTCCAGGAGCTCCAAGCCCAGCTGCCAGCTCCAAGGTGAGGCTTTATTTCTGGTTAGCAACTAATTCTTCTAAAACAAAGTTATTGCCTGGAGTTGAAATATTCATGTGTTCACTTCATCTTTCAGGCTCCTAGCAGTTTACATCACAAGGACAAACCATTGCCTGTTCCTCCAGCACTTCGAGATCTCCCACCACCTCCACCCCCTGACAGACCGCATTCAATTGCAGGTGAAAGCAGGCCACAGAGGAGACCTCTTCCGTCAACTCCTGCAGACAAACCACTTCCATTTTCAGCAAGCCGTCCTGCAGATCCTTGGCCTACCCGCTCTGTACCCAAAGTTCCCCCACCTAGCCTAGCAACCAATGATCCATGGACTGGAGGAAAGGAGCTCACCAACCGGCACTCACTGCCCTTCACATTGCCTTCACATCTTGATGAGAGAAAAGACCGCCATGGTAGCACACTGAGCTTAGACAACCCTGCAACAGTAAGTCAGGAATGTGAATCAAGTAAATGGTCATTTCTGGGGGGGCAGATTGTTTTAATGGTACAGATGCTTGTCATTTTCAATTCTTGTGTGTATGTAGGAGGTTTTGTTTACTTCTGATCTTTTCTATCTTCACTCTAGCTTTAACTAATTTCTCCACAGACTGTATTCAGTAGGCCTTTTTTTCCTTTGCAGAGTGCCAGTGTGGAGCTGTTGGCAGGTCTTGATTTGGATGATCCCAAAGTAAAGTCTTCTTCATCTGCAAATGCCATCTACTCCTTGGCTTCAAGGTGTGCATTCTAGGAGAATATGCCCAATACATGTTTTATCTGTTATTTAATAGTGAGGGAAGTAATAACCAACAAGAATAGTGTATATAACACATTACGTGTATCTTTTCAGGAATAGAAAGTCAAGTTTTTTGTAATGTTCTTTTTTACCTAAAGTATATCATAAGAATAAAAGTGTTATCACTCACGCACATAGGAGCAGTTGAATTCAGGAACATTGGGTTATACTCAGTGGTGTATATGTTTTGTGCTGCCCTAGGCAACACAAAAAATCGCCGCACCCCCACTGTCTCTAGTGCACCAACGTTTGCTGGGCGGAACTTAGTGGTCGGCCACATCTTTCTGTGAAGGTGTCAGTTAGTGGTATGAGCAGCGAGAAGGTGTCAGCGGCATGAGAGGTGTGAAGGTGCCAGTTAGTGGTATGAACGGAGAAAAGGTGCCAGTTAGCGGTATGAGCGGAGAGAAGGTGTCATTAGTGGTATGAGCGGTATGAAGGTGTCAGTGGTATGAGTGGAGAGAAGATGTCAGCTGTGGTATGAGTGGTGTGAAGGTGTCAGTGGTATGAACGGAGAGAAGATGTCAGTTAGTGGTATGAGTGGTGTGAAGGTGTCAGTGGTATGAACGGAGAGAAGATGTAAGTTAGTGGTATGAGCGGAGAGATGTCAGTTAGTGGTATGAGCGCGGAGAGATGTCAGTTAGTGGTATGAGCGGCGAGAAGCTGTCAGTTAGTGGTATAGTGGCGAGAAGCTGGTGGTATGAGAGAAGGTGTCAATTAGTGGTATGAGCAGTGAGAAGGTGTCAGTGGTAGGAGTCAGCCACCTGGCAGTCACCTAGTAGTCTCGGTCAGTCTCTGGTCAGTCACCTGGCAGTCTCTGGTCAGTCTCGGGTCAGTCACCTGGCAGTCTCGGGTCAGTCACCTGCAGTCTCGGGTCAGTCACCTCAGTCCTCATCAGCCTCAGCCCCCCCCCCATCCCCAGTAGGCATGAAGATCACTCGCCAAGGGGGGGGGGGGGGGGGGGGGATGTATTGCCCTCGCAGCCGCATTTCCCTTCCCTCTTCCACCTCTGTGACAGAGATCCCTGTCTCCTCTGGACACTGCTGTCCTCCAGGATCATCTCTCAGACCTGGCTCCCCACCGCCATCCACTGAGGAGAGCTCCGACCCTTAGAGCAGCCTATAGCCTGGCCGGGCGCACTGGATGCTGGGAGTTGTAGTCCTTCCCCCTGCACAGCCTGCCGGGATTGTAGTTCGGTGAGGCGGGGAAAGGACTACAACTCCCAGCATGCAGTGCGCCCGGCCAGACTATAGGCTGCTCTGATGGTCGGAGCTCCCGGAGCTCTCTGCAGTGGATGATGGTGGGGAGCCAGGGCTGAGAGATGATCCCGGATGATGGCAGTGTCCAGGGGAGGCCTGATACTCCCACTCCTCACTGGATTCCTGCTGTAGTGACATCAAAGACGTCCCTTCTTCCGCGGCGGCGCCCCCCTGTAAAGTGCCGCCCTAGGCAAGTGCCTAGTTTGCCTCGCGGCAAATACGCCCATGGTTATACTGCTGCCTAAAGGATAATTTGGATGCTGGCAAACAGCCATAAGCTTGCCAAGTATAGCCCCTCCCACTTCCTTGATGCTTCAGTTTTTTTGCTAGTGCCTTAGGAGGATTGCTGTCTCTTCTATTCGGTAAAGAGCAAACCATTTATCTTAATCGTACAGTACAAGACTTGGATTCTTGGACCATGCTTTATATGCAGGCTGCCTTCAGATGATTGGGCACTGGTAAAAAAAACATGCTAGGGTCACATCTAGAGTGTACTCACAAAACCTTAATCTGTAAGACTCCAGTTTTCCGCTGGTGTCTTCAGGTGATAGACCAGTTCTGCTTTTGGAGAAGTATTGTTCTTTTTAGACCATTTATTTTCTTTCTCTAAAGCAGCGGTTCTCAACCTGTGGGTCGCGACCCTTTTGGGGGTTGAACGACCCTTTCACAGGGGTCGCCTAAGACCATCGGAAAACACATATTTCCGATGGTCTTGGGAACTGAGACATCGCTCCTCTATCCGTCTCCAGGCGGGTCCGCCCACATGCAGATACGCCCACATACGAGTACCCTGCGTGATGACATCCTCACGCCAACTCCACATGCACCCCGTACAAATACAGGTGTATGTGACAGGGTTGGTGCCATAATGTACTTATATGGACCAGTCACACGTGTAAAGAGCAGCTACTGTGTTGAGAAGCAGCTACTGTGTTGAGAGCGGCTACTGTGTTGAGAGCAGGCTACTGTGTTGAAAGCAGCTACTGTGTTGAAAGCAGCTACTGTGTTGAAAGCAGCTACTGTGTTGAAAGCAGCTACTGTGTTGAAAGCAGCTACTGTGTTGAAAGCAGCTACTGTGTTGAAAGCAGCAGTATTGGAGGTAAAACGACACTTCATGAATTATAATTACTGGGTAAATGTAAAATCATGTACTGTAAAATCATCAACTACTGCAAAAAAAATCTGTACCGTAGGAACTTAATCTTAATAACTTAACACTGAAAATACATCCTGCATATCAGATATTTACATTGATTCATAATAGTAGCAAAATTACAGTTATGAAGTAGCAACGAAAATAATTTTATGGTTGGAGGTCACCACAACATGAGGAACTGTATTAAAGGGTCGCGGCATTAGGAAGGTTGAGAACCACTGCTCTAAAGCTTCTGTCAAGATCTGACTGCTTATTGCCATGGACTATTGAGATGCTTCCTGATCATTTACTCTTGGTGGGTAACTTGGACACTGTACCTGGACCCCACTACATGGGACCAGCCTGTAATGTTTGCTTTTGACTATGGATCTTATTCACCTTGGTGCTTAGTGCAACAAATACTTTCAGTTCAGTTAGCTACAGGGTGCTATACAGGTCCTTGGTCATTGTCCATTTCTATGGTCTCCAGACCCTGAAGACCCGTTCAGGTGTATGCCCACTGTATCAGGCGAAGGCTAGACCTCTAGATTTGGGAGTTATTCACTTTATTGTGACAATCCTTGCCATTTTATATCTAACATTTCTCGGAACAAGCGATTTTAAATTTTTCTGTTATCCTCATCTTGTACTGTCCTGTACTGTACAAGATTTGAAATTTACAGGCAGGCAAGTCAAATCTTTTCTATCTCTATCCCTTCCTTGCTTTTATCCTTCCAATCTGCCAGCCTCAGACCAAAGGAAAGCAGATTTGATGACTGCTTTCCACCAACTTTAGAAGAATGGTGTTAAGGTTTCTGTGCAATCTTATTTACAGTACCAAAACCAACTGGTACTTACTGAAGTTAAGCCCTATAGATAGGTTTCCTTGTGTACCAAAATTCCAGATGGAATCAATGAGAATTGTCATTGCTTCTCTCACACAAGGGTAGCTCCCCATATTCCCTCACATTAACGTATCTACATTTCATTGTGAAATTTGTAGCACTGCCATTGAGCCTCTCCTCTGCACCTCAAGTGTTCACAAAAGTGCTTGCCCCACTTATGTGTTTTTTTCAGAGGACCTAGGGCATTCACATCACAGGCTACCTGGATAAACTTTCACTGAAGGACTCCTCAGCCACAACCTTGCCAGCCAACGCCCATCCAACTTTTGGTTGGACAATAGACTTTCCAAAGTCTGCTCTCCAGTCCTCCATCTGGAGTACCTGATTCTAATATTTGACACAGCCCAAGCCAGAATTGTTCTTCCTCAAGAGAAAGTTGCTTCCCTAAAGCTCCATGTAGTTCCTCTTGTCAAAACAGCACCCTTTAGTTTACTTTTGCCTGAGGGTTCTTGGCTTGATGGTAGCATACTTTGAGGCAGTTCCCTTTGGCCCAGTTTCACTCCAGACCTCTCCTACATGCTTATGGCATGGAACAAGATATCCTATCTTTGGATCACCCAATGCTGCTGTTCAGCTGGACACAGCTCTCCTTGGCATAGTGGATGCCATTCTTAGACTGGGGCAGAGTTTACAAATACCTCACTTCCATAAACCTTTTGGAACTTAGAACCATCAGAATTTCTCTACAATGCTGGACCTCCCTTCTGTAAGGGTACCCAGTCAGGATGCAGTTATACAATGCTACAGCAATGGCCTACATAAACCACTGGAGGGGAGGTCGGCACCAGGAGTCAACGTGCTCTAAAAGAATCAGATCTGAGACTTCCCTGAGTGGAAACTTACATTCCAGCTCTCTCGGGCATCCACATCCCTGGAGTTGACGATTGGCAGGCAAACTTCACAAGCAGTCAACGCCTAGACCCAGAGAATGTTCGCTGCACCCAGTGATCTTTCAAAATTTCTGTCAAAGGGGAAAAACTTAGGGAGTCACCTGTGTTGAATTCGGGTACACCAAATGTGGACATCCTAGCCTTTTTAGGTTCAGCAGCAAGCTAAACAAATTTTTAGCCACCACCATGGATTCTCTAGCCTTTGCAGTAGTTGATGGTTCCTTGGATTCAATTCAGGCTGCTATATGCCTGCTCTCAAATTAAGATTCTCCCTTGAATGCTGAGCAAGATAGAAGAGAAATGGGATTCCAAAGATTTGTATTACACCAAGTTGGCCCAGACGAACATGGTACACAGACATACTCAGACTTCTGACTGACAAGCCTCTTGCAAACAAACCAGATTTACTGACCCATGGTTCATACAGCACATGGGCTGAACAAAAAAAACAAAACAAACTCCTCCATCCATACAATTGAGGTGGATGGAGGAATCCTCCCAGTTGGAGCTGCTGTCAGAATACCCTGATCAGCGACTGCGGTCTTTTGGCGGCAGAAGCTGATTGATTTCCAACATTCTTTGACGGAAATCGATCATCCGTTTGATTTCTGTTGAGCAGAGATGTCTGCACTAGAAATACAGCCAGTTGCAATCTATCTATGGCTGCAGTTCTAGTTTTAACTTAAAAGCAACATTTGACTTTGCAGTAAGGGACAGTATTTTACTACAACAGAATACTCTTCAGATCGTGCGTTTGTGTTTAGTGCAAGAGGGCATCCAATGTTTAAATATCAGCCTCTGGCAGGCTGTGTTTAGTTGTTCTCAAAGCAGGGAAGCTGTTGAAATAAAGTCAGCATGCTTTATTAAAGTCAATGTTGACCAACCCAGTGCCTGGTTAACATTTCTGCTAAACTATTCAACTAATGTTCCTTTGTGAGCCAGGCAGTATTACCTGTCCAACCTATTGGTACTTGTGTAAAGAGTAAACAATAAAAAAAAAAAAAAAAAAAAAAAAAAAAAAACCTTAAATGAGGATGTATTAATCGCTCTGAATACATAGTCCATGCCACCCTTTTGAAAGAGAAGTATAGCCAAAGCTTTTATGACCATACTTCTCTTGTGGGTCACAGGAGTTCACTTAATTTTTGCTCTCTTTTGATCTGTTGTCAGTTTAAGGGGGCTATAGCCTGTTACCAGCTGACATGGCAGAGCCTCTGCAGGCTCTGGAAGGATCCCGACCATATTTTGTCGATATCCACCCAGCTGCCTGACAGGTAGCTTTGGCTTTCAGCATGCGGCTGGGGGCCGGAACCAGCTGTACCTCCCCCTTGCCCAGCACTCCCAGTGAATGCTGCAGACCGAGAACTGAACAATCAGCGGTCATGTGAATGCTCAGTTCTGTCTTGGGTATGGCATCCAAGAGCTGCAGCATCACACCAGTGCTTCAGCATAGGGGTGAGCTTTTTTTTTTTTTTTTTTATCAAACCCTAAATGTCTCCTTTAAAAAACACTGTATCATTAAATACATTTTCAGGTTTTTCTTTTATTCATTATTATAGTGGCAAAATTATTTACAGTACTTTAGAGCATCCTTTCCTGACCTTTCTTTACACAAGCTGAACCCCAAGATAGTTTTAGGTCTTATGGAGTCTCTACTCAGCCAAAAAAAAAAATATATATATATATATATATATAGCTTATGGTACATTATCATGATTAGAAATTGTATATATGTTCTATTATTAAATTAAAGAATAGATAATCTAGCATATGTTACACTTAGAATGGATCATTTCTTAATACCCCCCCTGCTGTAAAAGTCATTATTTTCAGTTATAGTAATGAAATGAAACAACAATAATGCTCAGAGAAGAAACACAGGCAGTGAATATTTGAGTTCCTCTTTACATTGGTAACTATTGGAGACCTGCCATCTTACATTAATGGCCAGTGGGGAAGGGCACCCTCTGGATTTGGGGATCATTGAAAAGATGCCCTTTACATTTATGTTCAGTAGGAATTCTGAGGAGTGATACTGATGCTGGAATGTTGCAGGACCTGCAGGGCAGAAAATCAATCTGCCTCTGCTCAAGAAACCGCTAACAACCTCTAGAGCACGAGTGTCAAACTGGCGGCCCTCCAGCTGTTGCCAAACTACAAGTCCCATGAGGCATTGCAAGATTGACAGTTACAAGCATGACTCACAAGGGCAGAGGCAAAATGGGACTTGTAGTTTCGCAACATCTGGGGGGCCGACAGTTGGACACCCCAGTTCTAGAGGAACCCTAGTCCATCAAGACCATTCTACTCCTGCTCACTGTGGCTGGATGATCGCAGCAGATTAAATTTTTATTCTGACCTCTTTTCAGTCTGCTTTTTCTAAGCAATTGACAACAGGTCATTTGGTAGAATGTTGGTGCTGAAACTGACTTTGATAACATCTCTGTGCTCTGTGCTCTGTTGGGAAGAAACTAGTAGCTGCTGAAACAGAATGTGCATCCCTTTGAATGAGCAGCAAGAGTGGGCAAAATAAAATTTGCTATCCAGGCCATTCTGAAATTTTTATTTGAAATACAATCCCTCAGATTCTCTTCTTATGTTACCTTTAACATGGTTTAATATGTCACATTTAATTCTTCATTGTCTTATTGCTTTTTCCATCAAAGGCCATTCCCAGTGCCAAAGCCTTCATTGGAAGATCACTCTAATAGTATTGATGATTCAGAGTATATGTGCCCCTCCTCTCTACCAGTTATTCCTCCTGTGGTACCTAAAACCGAAGCAAAGAGGCCTGTTGAATCCCTACCTCCTGGAATACGGTTAGTGAATATTGTTAACTTTATTGTCAGAACCTGTATGAATGTCAAATCCATATACATAGTAAATTGCTGCAGCCCTCAAGCATTCATGAGTGCAGCACATGGCATATGGACTGTTAAGAGTGTATCTCTCCCTCATCCATCGAGGGGCAAAGAAAGTCTTCGGATTATACTGCCTCCTACAGAGGGTTTGAACATGGGCAACTTATTTGCTAGCACCTTCTTTGGTAATTTTTTTTTTTTTTCTTCCTTAACCACTTTAAACCCCCTTAGGACGTACCCGTACATCCTCGGGTTGAAGTGGTTATACTGGGATGATGCCTGCAACTGAAGGTGTCATCCCGGTATCAAAATTTTCAGCAGGCAATTGGCTTTCATGTAGATGTAATCTAAGCAGCTGTACAGCCACTTGATCACTTCTACAGGGTCTGAAAAGAGGCCTGCCTGCTTTGTTTACCTGGCTCTCCCATGCGAGAGGGGAGCATGGTACCACCGCTGTGTCTGCTTATGAATCGAATTCCTATCCCACCTTAACAATGCACTTTTTTGTTAGTGGTTGTGTCTTTTCTTTATGGGCCAAACTGATGAGCTTTTGGAAGTCCTTTCTAGAGCTCTCTTCTCACTTGGCAGGTCCTGAACTTAATCCGTTTTTGGCTGTGACTGTATTTTGTTAAACATCAGATAGTACAGTGAGCTCCTCCCGAGCTCTTCAGTTTTTTTAGTTTTTTTTTTTACATTCAACCACTGTGTTGAACGGAAAAAAAACTGGTGGTGTGTACCCAGCCCAGACTGTTCCTCACACAGGAGAAACGTCGGACACCAATCTCCGATTCAAACTCCCCAGTCAAGGAGCCATCCGTCTTTATGCTTTTCCATGGGAACTGATGGTAGCCTTTTACAAGAAAGTTCCGTTTGCCCAGGAAATTTCACCTTCACTCCTCCAGACCACTACAACGCAACATTCTGCCATTGTGGGACAAGTCGATCCAGTCTGTCACATAAGAAATGGTTGTTCCTGATCTGGTAGCTCAGAAATCTGGCTCTAGAGGCAGGGAAATTCTTCCCTCCTTCCTTTCTTTTGGAGTATCCTCGTGACAGATGCCAGCCTGTTGGGGGGGAAGGAGTCCTGGGCACCCTGTCGGTGCAGAGGACTTGGTTGTTGAACTGTAGGCAATTTGGCTGTCTCTGCAGCGATTGTATCATTTGAGGGTCATCAGAGGGTCATCAGATCCATATTTAGTCAAACAATTCTGATGTACATTGATCATCAGGGAGGAACCAGAAGGCTCTGTGGCGAGAGGTAGTTCAGATCCTGTCCTGGGCAGAACTTTATCTCCCAGCCTTGCCTGATGTAACCGATTGGCAGGCAGACTTCCTCAGCTAGAAGTGCCTAGACTCCAGGGGAGAGCTCTGTACACCCAGAGATGTTTGCAGCTGTTGGGCACTATATATGTGCACCTTCTGGCTTCCAGGTTCAACAACAAAACTGGACAGAATTGTCTCCAGTTACGGAGATCCTTCAGCAAAAGCAGTGGGTGCTCTCATGGCTCAGTGGGATCAGTACACCCTGATAGGACATGCCTTTCCTCCCCTAAAACCTTTTTCATCTGTTTGGCAGGATCATTAAGGAGATCATTTCGGTGATCATCATTGCTCCAGACTGGCCCTGGCAGATTTGGTTTGCTATGGCTTTTGCCAGATCACCAGGATCTTCTGTTCTCTAGACTGATTTGTCACTCTAAACATGAACAACAGCCCCTAGGAAAGCACTCTAGGGGCTTGTACCTGCTAAATATTCCAATATGTGGACACGTGTTGGATTGTTTAACTGGTGCAAGCCTTGTGGGGTTCACTACACTGCTGTGTCCCAGAGGTGCTTTCCTAGGGCCTGTTTTTTCATGTTTATTGTTAAAGGTCTTATCCTACACACCTTCTGACTAGGCAAGCAGGGAGCTCTACCTTATGGACATGGTTGTTAAAGCCTAAGTTCTGAAAAATGGGCATCTCTGAGACTGTGATTTATATCATGCTGAAATCTAGGAAGTCTGCTTCTCACAAAGTTTAACATTTCATCAGAATGGCACATTTTACTTGATGTGAGTCTCGGAACTTCCATACTAGGAGCTTTCCCATGTGACGAATCCTCTCCTTTCTGCAGCTGGGTCTAGTGGGGTGGGGGGACGTACATAGCCCAGCTCAGGAGCGCACCCAAACAAGTGCCCCATAGCAAGCAGCTTGCTATGGGGGCACTCTGAGAAGAGGAGGAACCAAGGTTGCCAGCACGGGACCCCAGAAGAGGAGGATCAGGGGCAGAGCAGGTAAGTGTAAACCTGGTATTTATTTATTTTTTAATTTTAAAAAAGTGTTTATAACTGCTTGAAGCTGCTCTATGAGCTTCAGACAGTCCCCAGGTTTATTCGGATTTTCTCTATTTTGGGAGGGGGGCATGGCTGGTAGTTGCTGTTTTGCCCTCCCCTCTGTTGGCTTTTTTTTAACATCACTGTGTCGCTCAATAAACAAATAAGAAAATAGGATTTTTGTACTCCTCATATAATTCCATTTCTTAGAGTCCGGTAAGTGACACTGGCCCCGCCCCTCTGTGCTTATGATCATACTTTCTACTGCTTTGCTGCACAACTGAGACATTCTAGTAGGGAGGGGTTTTCCTGGGCTGGCCTTCAGTTTTGTTTGACAGTATCCATTCTTCCTTTAAGCAGCAGTAGATTTAACGTTCCTGTGTGAGTTTTGGTATGCTGCCCTTCCCTGTAACAGGCACTAGGAGTACCTGTTTTATGAGTGGCTTTCTGCTCCAGTTTGCATACCCCTGTTCTCAGTACCCCCCTTATGCATTTGTTTCCCCTCATGTGGTCTGTAGCTGCCTCTGCACTCTTCACCAGTAAGGCACTTTCCAACCGTGAGGTTGGGTGCGCCTCTTTCTCAGGGCCATGAATATCACTCTCCCCATACTCTACAGTCATGTGTGAAAGTTCTCACCTAGTGTAATGTTGGGGAACCTCAGAAACTGTTGCCATTCCTGATCCTTCAACTTCTTCCATTTTGAAGTGCAAAATGCCAAACCCGTGTTACTTGGCAGGTCTTGGTTAGGCCTTGTATACCCTCCTCCTAACATATTTCTTTCACATTGCTTTTGCACTCCCTTTTGTAAGAAGTTGTGCTTCTTCGTCTCTCTTGCAACTTTGTACTCCTCTGGGGCCTTCCTCAGGTGTTCTTGCCCATGCAAAGCCCTCTTGCTCAAAGGGGTTACTCCGTCTGTAAGAACAGAACTTCCTTCTCTCCATTGACCCTGACAGCTGTAGATCTTCCTTGGCTCCCCTTGTATTTTTCCTGTCGGCCCTCTCCTTTTCTTACACTACATGAGGACAACGCATCCTGGAAGCCATTCCTTTTTGCTTCTCTGGGGTTCTTATTACCTTCTGCAGAAATGTCATTCTCCCTCCCCATGGACAGCTCCTTTGAACGCATGGTGTAGGTTCACAGCAATAGATTCCAAATGCAAATACCACACTTAGAATCAACTTCTGACCTTTTACCTGCTTAATTGATGAAGAAATAACAAAGGAGTAGCCCACACCTGGCCATGAAACCGCTTTTGATTCAATTGTCCAATTACTTTTGGTCCCTTGAAAAAGGGGGGCTGGCTACTCTTAAGAGCTGTAATTCCTAAACCCTTCCTCCAATGTGGATGTACATACCCTCACATTAAACCTGAGTGTGCACTTTCAGCCCATATCCGTTATAAAACTATAGCTTGAATTTGTTTTGGTAAATACCTGAAAAAAAATAAAATTGTGCCTGTGTCCAAATATATATGGACCTAACTGTATGTGATATATGTAGTGGGGATACTTCACTTTTTCACAACTATTTTTAGAGATAAGTTCCCACTGACAGCAATGATGTTTTTTGCAATCTAAAGGGGTAACACAAGTGTAAGGAGCATTTTTCCCACTGCCCATCACACTAGTTGTAGATATAGTAGTTTTTAGCAGGGGTTTGAAAGTTATTTCAAGTGTTCCTCTGTTATGAAAAGGTTGATAAAAGCTGCTTAAAAGTGTAACTGAAGGCAAAACATTCTTTTTCATTTTAGATAGAGTAAGGGAAGGTTATAACCTCTGTCAGGTTTTTTTTGTTTTGTTTTTTTTTTTTTTTTTTTTGCAATCTGTGTCCATATTGGAAGCTGTCTCCTCTATTATTTTTCTAGGGACAACCCATAATTTGGGATTTTCTTTTCATTTCACTTTCAATGATAATGGTAAACTGGACAAATAAGGGAGGGTGAATCTCCCTAATGGAGACAGACCACAAGACCAGTAAAAACCTAATAGGTGTTCTAATACCTCTCCACACTAACCAAAACTAAAAAAAAAAAGTTTTTCCTTTTTAGTTTTACTTGAAGTAAATACAAAATATCTTTCTATATGTCAAATATTGAACATTCACACACATGCAGTATACAGGCGTACCTCGGTTTACGAATTGAATGCGTTCTCCAGGACGTTTCGTATTGCAAAAAATTTGTAAACCGAATCGTGGTTTCCCATAGGAATGCATTGAAAACCAATTAATCAGATCCGCAGGTCTGAAAAAAGTAAAAAGTCTTTTATCTGTTCAAACCTCTTTACAAAGTGCACTTTAAAGGCATAAATACTGTACAGGGACATGATTAAAAAAAATGTGTAAATGCATTGAAAACCAATTAATCCATTCCGGGGGTCAGAAAAAAGTAAAAAAAAAGTCTCAAAACTCTTTATAAAGTGCACTTTAAAGGCACGGGGCCGGCACTATAAACCTCCCAGGTGCAATGCATCCTAGGGTAATGTTACCTGAGGCGTTCGTAAACCGAGGTATGCCCTTTTTCCACCAATAAAATAGACAACGTATTTTTTTTTTTAATTGGTGGAAGAAGGGTATTTATATGTGTGCGTATTTTTTTTTTTTTTTTTTTTCATATATATACTACTTTCATTCAATATTTGACATTTAGAAAGATATTTTGTATTTATTTAGTTCAACTTGGTATTTTTTTGTGTCCTGTGAAAGGAGCTTCCCTTTGACTGGTATTCCAGTCACCTTTTATATTTTTGGATCAATACATCTGCTACAGGGACTGCACTGACTTAGTGAGTTGGCATATTTTCCACAGTTTAAACTATTTTACCTCTTTATTAGCAATAAAAACTGACAAGGTCTAATTATTCTCCACTGTATCAATCCCATTAGATATCGCATGAGATAAAATACTGCATGGCTTCATGAGATAAATACTGCATATTTTATAGAAAAATACCGTAAGCTGTATTTTAGCAGTGTTTTTTGTGAATGCCCCCCAAAAATGTAAAAAATGCTAAGTGATATTTTACCGCATTTCTTAACCTCTTCACGCTGGCCAAACGCAAATGTGCGGCCTCCCAGCGTCTGGGCCTAGACGTCGAGCGGCCACACATTTGCGTTCAATTTAAAAAGGACATATGTGCTGAGAGCACGCTCCCAGCACGCTCCCAGCACACATGTCCGGTACTCACGGAAAGGTCCCGATCTCCTCTTTCGATCGGTACCTTTCCCGATCATGTGACCGCCATGATAACGCATCATGGCGGTGACATGACCCTAAACCCCCCCCCGTGTCCCTACATCTGAAACTCATAAAAGGGCCGGGAGGCGCCAGCGTGAAGAGGTTAAAGTGGTCCATATGCTTTGTGAATGGAGCCCCCTGTGTGATATTACTGAGTAGATTGCCCAGCCTGTTGTCAAAAAATGTTCCTGCCTGGGCTCACACATGCACTCTGAAATTCTATTATTTCCCATGGATTTCTGGGTATGTGGAATTTTAATTGAGAGACTTTTGACTTTTTGATGCTTGGCAAAACTTGTTGGCTATGTAATAGTTTGTAACTGGGATTCAAACATCTAAGGACCACTCCAGCTGTTTCTAATTTTCTTTTTAGACCAGCCGACCAGCCGGTTGAAAGAGAGTCGTATGAGACCATGTACAACATTCATTGCCAAGCTACACCTGTGGTCATGGAACCAAGAAGTGATGAAGGTAAGTAAGTTAACATTTGTAAATGAAATAATAGGCAATGCTGGACATGATGTGTTGTATTCTTGTTGGGTCAGGATGGTAATCTTAAATAATAAAAAAGGATACTTTTTATTTATTTATCCTATTGAATTCACAGCATTATTTTAAAAACACCCCATTACATTTACAAGTTGTAAGACATTATTCAGTATGACAGCCAGTGGCAGAATATATACAAATACATTAGTCACTACCTAAGTTAGTATTCTAGCCGGTGACACCACTCAGGATAGTTGTATGACAGATTATATTTAGTGTAATTAGTCAATGTAATAGTTGGTAAAACAGATTGCAAATAATATTGCGTGTTGTGATAGTAATTAGAGATTCTGTTGGTGGTAGAGTGAGATGCAAAGCACAGTGCAGGAAATGAGAGAGGGCTAATGGTATGGACACATGTTGCTGGGGAGAGAGATCTACTACAGATGTGGACACTGCTAAAGTTAAAGCTGTGAAAAACCTACTGAAGCCAGTAGGGTGAAGTAAGGTTAAAACAAATCATGTATTAAAAAACATATTGCACTTACATTCAGGCGTATGGAATAAAGCAGCCTACAATGAGAATGTCTGGCCGCAATGTCAGTCCGCACACCGGTGAGCAATGGCATCACACAGAGGCTCCGCTCGACGCGTTTCCCCCAAACTAGCCTCCTCTGGGACTGGAGATCTTGTACTTTTTTAATAAATTATTGGTTTTAACCTTACTGCACTATGATGCTTCTCCTTGTTTGAACTTTGCATTCATAATCATGATGAGCAATATGAGATGCTAGAACTGATTCCTGGCGGGGACCATACATTCCTTAGATGAATGCATTTATCCTTCCGAGGGTCTGACAGTGAGAGTGACAGCCTGTTGTTTGGATGTACATGTTTGATCTCTATAGCTTGAGATTATTTCAGTTTGGCAAGAAGCCTGCCTTTTTCTAAGGAGCACTTTTGAACACAGGAGCACTTTATATGAAGTTTTTCCAGCACGGAGCACTTTTTTCACAATCAATTTTGGGACTTTTTATTAATTTGTTTGTTTACACCAGTGTTATTTATGTGCAAAATTGTGGGATTTGATTTTCATTTGTTATTCAACTGTTGAATAAGGGTATACATAATTTAAAGGGACAGCACACTATTTAGTTTATATTGAGATTTATTCTAATCAAATATTTTAGTTGCAGCAGTCTGCACATATATAATTTTTTGGCTAAGCGCAGAGAATTTACTTTTTACACAAAGTATGAATTAAAAATACTTGATTCCTCTGTGCTTTTATCTGCAGTATTTTTAAGTACATGATAGGATTTCATTAAACTATTTGATCCTGAGATATAGCTGTGTTACAAGACCTATCAATACCAAAAGCTGACATGACACAGAGCAGCTTCATCTTTACAAAATGTGCCACGCTGGTAGTCCTACGATTATGCCATACTACGACAGACACTCGTGTATGAATCAACTTCCTCCCATCCCACAGGACACTTGCTAAAAAGCAATGGGAAACTTTCCCAGTACTACAGTTTCTTTTGTGCTTTCTTTCTTCATAAAGAGAACGAGGAAGTGGGGGCACAGACTACTGCTGAGCTGTACTTTCAGTGCTCGGCCCTCTAGACTGTGTGTCAAGACTTATTGAACAATGTCTGTGGGGGTGGATGTGGATGCTGCTCAGTATGCAGTGAGTGTGGTGACAGGAAAGAACGTCCCTAGAGAGGGTGTGGACTCTGGAGAGGGAATAAAATGGTGTACTGTTGAACCGAGTGTGCTCTGTGCAGCTAAGTGCACTACTGGAGGCAGCATCCATCCAGAACTGAAAACTGGAGTTACAATCTTCCTTTTATACTATACAGTATAGTATAAAGTGTTTTTTTGTTTTTTTTCTTTTCTACCACTATCCAAAACTGAATCGGAGATGCATGATAATGACACCAAAGTATTTTGCTTAAAGCTCAACTCCATGAAAAGAATAAAAAAAAAAACCCTTGCTCGCTATATGTAGGGGATTGCAGAACAGGCTGTATCACTTTCCTGTCTCCCTGCTCTGGTCTGTGGCAGAGCCTGTGTCATGATGCACCATACAGGGACATTAACCTTGTGATTACGCTTTGAAAGCTGAAGTGCGACCAGAAGCAATCTCAGCATATGGAGAGGCTATGGGTGACTAGGTGCAGTGCTGTAGGGACCCTGCTGGAAGAAGGAATAAGGTATTTTCTCCTTGGTCCTCTGCCATAGACTAAACAAGCAATTAATACTTACAGTGAGGGGGGGATTTTGTTTTTTCATGGAGTTGGGCTTTAACAGCATTGTATACTGTTAAGTCTGTGATCTACCAGGTCTGTTAGATTTGTGCCAAGTGAGGGAAAAATGTAGCAGAAAAAATGCCATCAATGATGCAGTCTTTGATGGACTTCTGCCAATCAGAAATTCTTATTTTTTCTGAAAGATAGTTACAGCGCAGTTCTGTTCCAGGAGGGTGCCCATGGACCTCCTTCTGGAACCACGCCCCCTGTGGCACACGTCGAGCTCACTTTGTGATCGATTTGTCCTTTGGACTCAGCTGATCACATATTGAGGTGAAGGGCCAATCGCAGCAGCCATTTACCATGTGATCAGCTGTGTCTAATTACAGCTGATCACAATGTAAATGCACTTTCCAGTTATCAGCAGTACTTTCCTTCTGCGGTGTCACAGCATGAGGAGAGCAGAGCCAGTAACCGGCAAGTGTGACGGAGGCATGTGCACAGATGATCAGGGCACTGATTATCAGTGAAGCCTATCAGCACACATCAGTGATGGAGAAAAATTAGTCATTTGCAAAATTTTGTAACAAATGAAGACTTTTTTTTTTTTTTTTTTTTTAATTTCGGTCTTTTTTTATTTGTTTAGCAAAGAATATGATGGTTGTGGGCTGGGTTATCCTGTGCTGGGCAACAGCTTTTTTGTTGCCATTGTTATTTTCTCCTGTAGGTGGTGGGAAGGAGGGGGGGGACCCTGACAGTATTAATTCCTGTGTCTCTGCTCAATGGACAAGAATAAGGATTTTACATTCCTCTCTTTACTGCCGTACTAAAAAAGTCAGTTTGTGGTTTTTAGCCTCATGTATGATAGAATTAGGCATCTGCTCAGGAAGTTACTATTAGGGCTTTTTGGTACAAGAAGACAACTGACTTTCATGAATTTGATAACCAATCTTGTGAAACCAAACCTATATATTTTAATGTTTCTATTTGTAAACACAGAGGAGTGCACTGCCATGTCAAGCAATGGGCCTGAGGATGAAGATGATGGGTATGAGGTACCAAAGCCACATTTGCCAATGGCCCTGGCTCGCCGCACACTTTCTGATATCTCAAACGCTGTACCTACCTTAAGTTCCGCGACTACCAGCAGAGATTCTGGAGCAGGTATATAAACACATTTCTCTTATTTTACTCAAATAATTACTTTCCAGCTTATCTGAAGATCCTCCGTAAGAGGGTGTATTGTGATTTCTATCAGTTCTGGTCTTTAACATACAGTATTCAACAGAAATACACTGTCAAAACTGATTGTAGATTGACACGTGCTTGTTTACCATTTGGGTGAATTTCTCTTTTCCTGGAGGGAGAATCTCTCCAACAGGGATGCAGACAGCAATACAATTCTAACAGAGGTTCTGTCCACTCTGTTCAAAACTAAATGTTCTGTCTTGACTTCTACTTTAAAATCATCGTGTTTTTCAAGAAAGGTAAAATATTAGAAATGTGTATTTTTTTTCTATTTTAGTCTGGTAAATCTGAGGCTAGTTCTATTATGTGCAGTGATATGCATCTTCCCACACTGGATAAACATCAATCACTGCAACGGCACATAGAAAACACCAGGTATTGCTGTACCCATTCACACCGACACCACACCGCTTCTGTGAGATGCAGTGTAGATAAATGCAGCATGTCTGGGTTGGATAGATACCTTTCAAGTGCTGACGGTGGACCAGGGCTAATGTGTGCAAAAAGGCATACCTAATCTAGTCTGCAGTTCCAACCAAGGACAGAACATCTATAGAAAAACCCTGAAGGGGTGCCTTACTGATCAGTAGCTCAGGCTAAGTTAGCAGAGGCAGTATTCTTGGTGTGACGAGTGACCTCTTGTGTTCATTTGAAGTATAGATTCCTGTACCTGATTATGTCCCTTCCAATACCCTTTGCACCAAAAATCATACAGACGTATGTGAAAGGATTTGATTTACAATCTTAACTGTTGAGTGGACTTGCCTCAGTTTACAGATATTACCTCTCAACATCTCCCAAAGAAGTGGATGTCTGGCTACAAAAAGCATAGCAATAATACACTCCATCCACTAATGTTGTAATGACTGTTGTAATGCTTATATGACTGGACACTGCATGTTTTCTCAATAACATGTGGCCATATAACAAGGAGTGTGGTTTGGTGGAGGAACAATAAATGAAATGTATTAAATTTATATCCAGAATTAGCCTTGTGTACAAGATACTGTGTTTTTATAAAGATAGATTTTTATAAAGTATGAATAATATATTTTCATTACAAATATCTGTTGAGTTTGGTGCAATTAAAGTCCCAAACTCTTCCATATTATCTGTCTACTGTTCCACAGGACAGAAAAGTTATAACAGTTCTTTTCCATAAAAAACTGAAAAAGCAAGGATTTGGTGCCCTTGTATAAGTGATAAAATGACTTTAATCTCCTTCCAGAATTTGTTTTCCAACAAGGATATACAGTATATACAGTTGTGTTCAAAATAATAGTGTGTTTTTTAAAAAGTGAGTAAAGCTCAAAATCCTTAAAATAGCTTTTCATACATACAAATGCGTTTGGGAACACTGCATAGTCTATTCCAAATCAAAACATGAAGAAAAATGTTTCAAATTTGTTATTACTTTACAGAAAGTTAAGAAAAAGGATAGCAGTGTCTGCATTTTTCTTTATTAAGTACATTTTAGAGTTTGTAAACTGAAAAATGTTTGAAGATTTTGCTTTCCTGTGAATCACTGAACTAATATTTAGTTGTATAACCCCGGTTTCTGAGAACTGCTTCACATCTGTGTTGCAAGTCGACCAACTTCTGGCACCTGTGAACAGAGGTATTCCAGCCCAGGATGGTGGAACCACATTCCACAGTTCCTCTAAATTCCTTGGTTTTACCTCAGAAACAGCACTTTTTATATCGCCCCACAAGTTTTCTATTGGATTAAGGTCCAGGGATTGGTCTAGCCACTCCATAACGCTATTCTTGTTTGCTTGGAACCAAGATGTTGCACATTTACTGGTGTGTTTGGGGTCGTTGTCTTGTTGGAACACCCATTTCAAGGGCATTTCCTCTTCACAAATAGGCAACATGACCTTCAAGTATTTTTGATGTATTCAAACTGATCCATGATCCCTGGTATGCGATAAATAGGCCCAACACCGTAGTATGAGAAACATCCCGATATCATGATGCTTGCGCAACCATGCTTCACTGTCTTCACAGTGTACTGTGGCTTAAATTCAGTGTTTGGGGGTCATCTGACAAAACTGTCTGTGGCCCCTAGACCCAAAAAGAACAATCTTGCTTTCATCAGTCCACAAAATGTTGCGCCATTTCTCTTTAGGCCTGTCAGTGTGCTCTTTGGCAACTTACAACCTCTTCAGCGCATGTTGTTTTTTTTCAACAATGTGACTTTGTGGCGGCTTCTTGCCGATAGCTTGGCTTCACATAGGCATCTTCTAATTGTTACAGTACTCACAGGTAACTTTAGATCTTTGATCACCCTGGAGCTAATCATTGGCTGAGTCTTTGCCATTTTGGCTGTTCTTCGATCCATTCGAATTGTAGTTTTCAGTTTTCTTCCACATCTTTCTGGTTTTGGTTGCAATTTTAAATCATTTTGAGATCTAGGCACTAACAAAATTACATTTGCGACTGTGTACACACCTAATCATTTCCAAATCTCCTTCTTAGACTCTGTCTTAGACACCCTCATGAACTTCTCCAAAGGCATTTTAGTCTTTGGCGGGAACGTCACTGTGATTCTAGACCGTTCCGTGGATACCATGGGTCTCTCATCCCATCTCTCTCAAGAGGCTCTTCGCCATTTAAAAACAGCTTTGCACACACATCAGCTGGATGATGTGTGGCAGATACGCAATCCAGACACTTGGGACTACTCTTTCCATTCTATGGTGCACAATATGTATTCCCACATAGATTTCTTCCTAATAAAATATCTGGGCTTACAGTGGGTCACTGCCACCGTCACCGCGAATATCTCTTATTCTGACTGCTCTCCAATCATGCTCTCTATTCAACCTAACTCCCCCTTTACAATCTACCTGGACTTGGAAGGTGAATGAGTCCCTGCTACAAGACCGCATGACTTTTCAGGACCTACGGAGGGAGCTGAAAGCCTACTTTGATGCCAACATATCAAATGATCTCTCTCCCATGTGTGTTTGGAAAGCACATAAATTGGTTATTAGGGGTGTCTTGATTAAACACTGCTCCAAACTGAAAAACGAACAGAGCGGTTTATCCCAGATACACTAGACAGAATAGCTCTGCTGGAAAGTCAGCATAAACGAGGACAAACATTGACTGTCTTGACTTAACCTCCCAACAACATAGCCTAAAAACTGCTTTGCTAGATGGGCCACGGCTTCTATTATCAAATGCAAACAAGTATTTTACGAATATGGCAATCAATGCAGGTAGACTCTTGGCCAACACCTTGCAGCAGCGTAGAAGCTCAGACCTTTATCCCTAAGATACAAAAACCTGACACATGATATTCCCACCTGTCTACTGACATTGCAGCTGAGTTCAGAATGTATTATGTGGAACTGTATGATATTAAGGGAGACCATTCACCCACCGACTTGGACTCCCATATCGTTAAGATTCAACGTTACCTGAGACAATCTAACCTCCCAACTTTGAGCTCTGACACCATTGTTGATTCAGACCACCCAATCACACCTTTAGAATGTTTACAGGCCATTAAATAAACCAAACCAGGCAAAGCTCCCAGACCTGACCGTTACTCCCTGGCTTATTACAAACACTTTCATGCTCAGTTGGCTCCACACTTCGTAAAGGCGTTCAATGTCCTTACTTCAAAACATCATGTCTGACCTGAAACATTGCAATCCTACATAACTGTTCTACCCAAAGAAGGGAAGGATCATACCCTGTGCCAGAATTTCAGTCCTATATCTTTTTTAAACGTAGAACTTAAACTTTTTACTAAGATCCTAGCGACCCGCCTGATTCAACATTTACAACATATTATAAATTTTTATCAGGTGGGCTTTATGCCCAGAAGAGGCAAGGGATGGAACGATCCGAGCCTTAAATGTAATCCACTCCGCCCTGTCAAGGGCTAACCTTACTATCATCATTTCCACAGATGCTGAAAAAGCCTTTGACTGGGTAGATTGGGATTTTCGTTAGTCTACTTTGAAGGCCGTTGGATTTGGCAGCTCAGTGATCGGCTGGATTGAGTCTTTATACTCCAATCCTACGGCCCAAGTCAAAGCCAATGGCATACTCTCTTAGCCCTTTGATATAAAAAATTGGACGCTTCAGGGCTGCCCTGTCTTCTCTAATAACTTTGGAGCCATTTTTATGTCATATATGGCCAAACTCTACTATTAATGGCATTGAAATCGGACGACACCAGCATAAGGTCTCGCAGACAATCTTCTATTTTTTTATTAGTCAGTCTGATATAACTGCCTTACCTAATGGCTGAGTTCTAAATTTCAAGATAAATTTTCAGAAATCTGAAGCAGTAAACCTGACTCTACCGGGGGTGATCCTACAGAGACTCAGATCCAACTTTTCCTTTAAACTGGCTTCCTTAAGCATCAGATATCTGGGAATCCAATTGGCGAATTACTTCTCTAAAATGCCTAATGTTAGACTATACCAATTGGCGACTCGCCTCACAAGAGTCATTGATTGGAATAAGCACTCACAAACTAAACAATGGGTAGCCATGAAAAACCACTCCTCTCCTACACCTCTGTCCTGCCATGGTGCCCTTCCCTACCAACACTATCTTTGCATACTCATCCGACCATTACCCTAACTTGGAAACTGTGTGCAAAGGCGTTTACATCTCTTGGCATTTCGTTTTTTTCCCTTGCCTCTCTGACCCATATTGGGCAATCCTAATTTTGGGCAATCCTAATCCCCCCAGGATTACAGAATGCGACTTTCTCCTCTTTGTGTCAAAATGATCTATACTCTGCTACCCATTACATCAACCATTCACAATGGTTAAGGGTACACCAGTTGTGGCAGACGCCACCATTTGCCCACCTCAATAGATTCCATTTGCTTCTAATATACCATATTCTGAAATCTTTACCACCAACACCGCAGTTTACCTGCCCCCTGTCGATCTTTTAAATGGAATGTAGACAGAAGGCGTGCATTGTCTTTCAGTTACAAAGTGTTATTGACGGAGTCGTCTTCCACTGCTCTCATTCCTAGACCAATGGGAAGGAGACCTCCTAATCTCTATTTCAGAAGATCGTACAAAGTTTTTACTCTCTCCTACAGATCATCCATTAGCAGTAAATACCAGGAGACAGGCTATAAATAGCGAACTCCCCTTTATTTTTTTCAGGCCCCTTTACCTCATAATACTCTGGGCTTTCTGACATGGGTCAGTTTGCTATCTATATTATATTGTCTTAAGGGAATCTGTTTGGTACAACAACTGTTATCATATTGTCTGACTGTGTCTCCCCATGTATGTTTCATCGCTTTGATGGCACAACACCTACTCTGAGGACCCATGTACTGAATGCCTGTATTTTTGGAATGCCTGAAATATTATTATTTATTATTATTACTACGAGTTTATATAGCGCCAATTTGCTCAGCCTGTACAATAGGGGGGGGACAATATGGCACAGTAAAGCAGACAGCGTTTCTGCTTACAATGGAAATATACTTAAAGCAGAGTTTCTGTGAAAATAAAAAAAAACTAAAAGTCAGCAGCTACAAAAACTGTAGCTGCTGACTGTTAACAAACGGATGTTTACCTGTTCCTTGATCCCGCGGATCACAATTACAATCTGTTGCAAGACTAGAAAATTTCTGTTCACAGACTCTCTGATAGAGCTTGAGCTATTTTGCAAAGAAGACTGGGCAAACATTTCACTCTGTCAATGTGCAAAGCTGATAGAGACATACCCACAATTACAGACTTGCAGCTGTAATTGCAATGAAAGGTGGCTACAAAGTATTGACTCCGGTGGGCTGAATACAAATGCACGCCACACTTTTCAGATGTTTGTTTGTAAAAAAAAATTTTGAAAACCTTTTATCATATTTCTGCCACTTTGTGTTGGTCTATCACATAAAATCCCAATAAATACATTTACGTTTTTAGTTGTAAAATGACAAAATGTGAATACTTTTTTTCAGAGAGAAATGCACCATACCCAGGTATGTACAACATTTGCTGCCTTTGTCCTTAAATAAGGGCCACCTTTTTGACACCTGTTTTCAGACTGAATGACCTCACTAACTGAACTCCACACTGCTATTATTTTGAACTCGCCCTTTCAATGAATGATTCAATTATACAGAATCAGCAGCATGCATGTCATGACTGTCTGGTCTGTTGGTTTTCTATTACTCTACTACACTGATTAGTAAATTATTTGCCATGTAAAAAGTATAATTTATGCCAAGATGAGTGATTGATCTGGTTAGTGATGTTGGACTGCTATGATTTTGAACACAACTGTAAGTGTCCAGTTTAGTTAAAACATTTTATTGCATGGAATATAAAGCAACATGCCATTTTTTTCTGATAAAAATTGTGTTAAAGCTAAGCACTAGAAATCTTGGGGCATGTTATGGCTCTAATTAACCATCTGATTATGCGAGTAAGATGGTTTAGACCTTTCCAATCATAACTGTACCCAGAATTAATAGGTTTCCCACCTGTTAGCTGAAATCTCATTTTGTCTAATTTTTGGAATATGTACACAACTGCAGCCCTTCAAAATATATTTGCTTAAAATTGATTTATTTTTTCAGGACTCCAAGAGTCATCACCTGTTCCAGAGCGTCCCCCAAAACCCTTTCCTAGGAGGATGAACTCTGAGCGTCGTCCTGCACCACCTGGTGGTGATGCTTCTTCTCCCCTCTCCAGCGAGATTGAGAGTTTACTGAGCCAGGGATATTCTCAGCAAGATGTGAATAAAGCCTTAGTCATTGCCCACAATAACATTGAGATGGCCCGCAATATCCTGCGTGAATTTGTGGCTATCCCATCACCTCCTCATGTGGCTACATAGCAATTGGATTTCCAGATACTGCCGTACACCATGAACGAAAGATCGCACATCTGATCCTTGAGCTCGAGTGCAGTGGGAAGTAGCAATGGGACCAGCTGGGTTTAATGTGGGTATAGAAATAAATGGATGGAGAATTCCACCCCCCCCCCCCCCCTCCCCCCCTCACCGGAAGAGTACAGGGTAGGGGCATCAGCCTGCCAATAATTAGCAGTGTTACGTCAGGTGATTCTTAACCAGATTCTCAATCAGAGCACTATGCTCCATTAAGCGTGTTTTTCAAATTTCCTCTATAACATCTGGATTACTACCATCCTGAGAATGAAGACATGGGAAGCTCTGATTGGCTCAGGTCACTATCATGGATACACTGAACCCATCTTTCCCATCCTTTTTTTTTTTTTTTTTTTTTTTTTTTAAGTTAAACTGCCTGTTGTAGGTCCTATGATTTTCTGTTTGTGTATATGGGGAAATGCATTTTCAAACATTTTGTGTGCTTTTTTTAATTATCCAGTGTTATTTAATGGACTTTATTTGCACTTACCAGTGCACTCTGGGGGACCTCAGTGACATTAAAAGTTGCCTTAGCATATAACCTTTTATTTTAAGCTCATAAAAGCCCACTATTAAAGACATTCTAGAATCACTTGTTGAGGTCCTATTTGGCCTTGTATTTTAGATTTTTTTTTTTTTTTTTTTTTTTTTTTTTTTTTTTTTAGCAAGTCCTGTGACTAAGTGCAGTGAGGCATTCCAGGAGTTTGGTGCCAACACTAATAACTTCAGGGGTGCAGTATGCCACATGACTCAGGGCAAAGGGGAGCTGTCACATTAGTACAACAGAATAAGGGTGGCATATTAGGCAGAATAGAAGGGAGGAAAGTGTAAGGATGTGACAGTGATATTATATGCAGCCACACACTGATAAATTCTCCTAATTTATTCTACATGTCTTACTGGCTCCACATGACATGTAAAGAAAAATATGCCTACAATCATAACTGTGTAGCCATTTGTAATAATATCAGTACATGTGTCATATGAGCATATGTATATTTATTTACATGTATATTTATATATGCTGAAATCATAGCTAATATGTACAGATTTGGTCAAATGTATTGCTCCCCCATGCTACACTTAAAGAGCAAATCACATCTTTTGTTGATGACACGTGAAATTGAAGGGAAGAGAATGTAATAGTGCTTAATTACACTTCCAGGTCTCTCTTCATCAGACCTGCAGCATAACGTCTTGCCATCCATGTAACAAATATGTGCGTTGGCAAAGAGGCTGGGCTTACCCACACGTCGCTTGTGTGTCAGTGGGCAGCCACAATGACCAAGCTGCCATACACTGCTCTAGTACTGGTCTCTAGTAATGATTCGAAGCTGGCTCCTGATCATGTGAAGACTGACATTCAATCATAGTGGTCACGTGATCAGACACTCCTTTACACACTGTGTAATGAACAGGGGAAAGGGTTAAAAGTCCTCGTCTGAAGAGCTACCAAGGCTTACAGCCTACAGCTTATTTCCCCTCTCAACTAAGTATTGGAATCATAAAGGGTGTGGAGAACCTTGAGGCTTTTTGCACACTGCTGCCTAAAAACACAGTATTTTTAGGCATACAGACTATTTTCTATTTTTAATGATGTACAGCACATTCATAACCTGTTCAGTCCATTTTCACTTTTTTTCAATTTTATAGTGTTGCAGCCTGATACTACAGTTGTTTAAATTCATTTTGTCATTAATCTACATTTAGTACCCCATAATGACAAAGTGAAAACGTAATTTTGGCCACTGTGCTCTTAGGAACCTTCAGTGCAGCAGAAATTTTTTGTAGCCTTCCCCAGATCTGTGCCTTGCAATAATCCTGTCTCTGAGCTCTGCAGGCTGTTCCTTTGACTTCATGGCTTTTGCTCTGATACAGTGTGCATTGTCAGCTGTGAGGCCTTTCAGATAAGTGTGTGCCTTTCCAAACCATGTCCAATCAATTTAATTTACCAGAAGTGGACTCCAATCAGGGTGTGAAAACATCTCCACATTGATCAAGAGAAATGGGAGGCACATGAGCTAAGTGTTGTTGCAAAGGGTTTGAATACTTATGCCAATGTGATTTTCATTTTATTTTCTTTTTTTTTTTATAAATTCACAGACCTTTCTAAAATTCTGTTTTCACTATTTCATTTTGGGGTACTGAGTGTAGATTAATGAGGAAAAATGAATTTAAACAACTATAGTATCAGGCTGCAACATAACAAAATTGAAAAAGTGAAGGGGGTCTGAATACTTTATGATTGCATTGTAAATGCAGACCATTGTTTTCAATGTGTCTGTACTCAAAGGCATGTAAACATGGTCTGTGTATAGATCAGTAAATAAATTACCGAAATCTGCTTTGCCAGTCAGTATTTGTGCACATACATCACACTTCCTTTTTAAAATAAAGGTAGAAGAATTGTTACTCTTTTGAACATACTGTATACGTGCAAATGCTATACAGATGATCCCTGTCAGGAATATCTGATGTACACACACACCACACACACCACACACACACCACACACACACATTCAGTGTTTTTGAGAGCTATGCTACCTAAATAAGCTGAAAACTTTTCCTCTGCTCACTGTGGCCCTTATGTCATTACAGGACACCATAGTGGTAAGAGAGGAGTCAAACTCCCAGTAATGTCAAATGCTAAAGGGTTTTTTTTTTTTTATAAAGAGGACTTCATAGATTAATCCTTTTCTTTGCAGACATGCCATTGAGGTAAAGTTTTAGACAATTAACAGGGTCCATTTTAGGGGTCAGCTCAGTTAAGGGCACACTACACTGACCACCCTTTCCTAATTGACCTCAGGTTGTCTTTAAACATTTAGTATGCATACTTAGAGCAGAGGTAGGCAGTGATCATAACCCATGTGTGCAGCAATCATGTAGCCAGTTCATTTTTTCTTTCCATCATGGGACAGTGTCATTCATTTACAGCTATTTTTAACAGTTCAGTTTTCTCTCTTAAAGATTTTTAAACCTGTATGAGAACAGCTTAGCATGGGGTTCAGCAGCTTTTCTATGTAATGAGTAGATGGGACCAAATTTCAGTCCCATGTGCTCAATAAGAGAGAAGTGGAGTAGATGTCTTTATGCCTAGTAGAACAGATGTTTACTTGTCACAGGTTTCCCTGTTTGCTTCATGGTCACCTGTTAAGTGAACAGCAAACCGGTCTAATTATTTTGACTCTTGAAGTGCTTTCCCTTCAAAGCTGATGATAAAAAGCAGAATAACACATAGGAACCATAAGTCACCATCCTCCTGCAAAAATTATAATCATTTGTGGGTTTTTTCAATAATTCTTTGGGTTTTGTTAAACCACAGTGCTCTGTATATATCCAGTTTATGGGTAATAGCGTCCCCTTAACCCATGATATTTTGAAGTCTCCAAATAGTAGGCAAAAAGCCATTTTATGAAGGCATTACGAATGTCTACATTGCGTTTAAATAAATTAAGTTATTCTTTCCTCCTTTTATACAAATTAGCCTTGTACTCTACCTGTTTGGTATTTTGTGCACATCATTAATCTGTATTAACTCTTTCTGTCTTGCCTGTTAACATGACATTTTTGATTTGGTTTGGTTCTGTTTTAAAGCCCAACTTCAGCTAAACCATTTTGCTGTCTGTGTACTGGTTGTGATTTCCCTTCACTTCCTGTTTTGCCACCTACCAAATAGAAAGGATGTTGAGAAAAATCTGCCAGATGGAGACAAAGCAGTGAGAACTCAACACTCAATAGTTATTGCTGCAGTTGGGCTTTAAGGCAGTGAAATGTTTATTTATAAAGGGATAACTGTTATGAAAGACCCTGCCCTTCGCCCTAATTTGTGAAATTATGGTAACTAGGTGGGAGCTAGAGATGTTTTCTTATGTGTATTTTCTTTACAGGTCAAAATAGAATTTTGTTTTCCTTGAAATTTGCTAAATTTACACTGTTTACATCCACCTGTTGAATTTACAATCCAGTGTTACGTTTTTCATGCAAATGTATATTGGCAGTTAATATGTGATATGGTTTTATTTGCCAACGTAGGTAATTAAATGAAATACAATGTCAGAACAGCAGGGCAGAGAAACTTTATATAAGGTTATCAGCATATAACAATTTTTCCATGCTGAGGAAAGTAGTTGTCAAGCTCAGTGAATGCAGGGAACTGTACAATAGTAGTTTTTCCCAGTCACTTAAGGGGAATTTTCAGTTCTCTCCAAGTAGTAGACATGATACATTCACTACCTAATGTGAACAAGACCTGGCCTAACAATACTGCTGAAGTTAAGGAATTTTGTGGTGCCCAAAGTAGCTGTACACATCTTACAAAATGATCTGTGTCCAATGGAACCCCTTGGAACCTAGGCCCAGATTGTATACAGGGCTTTCACTGCTTTCTGAGTTGTGATTTTCCCCCACCTCACACTATATTCCATTCCTGTTCAACTGTCAAATGCCAGATGTTTGCATTTTGACTATTGAATAAGAAACACGGGGTAAAATGCATGAATAAGACCTAGATCCAAGGGGTTGCACAAGAGTAAAAAGATTGATTTGTAGATTAACACAAGTACTTACAGGTAACAGAAGGTGCCAGAACCTAAAACTGCACCAATATCAATATTATGGACATTAAAGTGTTTACGTGTTCTTTAACATCAAGAGCACTTTAAAACTAAAGTCCTCATTGACCTGTGTAGCTGCAGATACTTTGAAGGAATTCATCCTCAAACATCTCAAGAGACCCTGAATTTGGTTTCTAACAGTTTTGGTGCCTGCTATTCACATTTGATGGCTGGCAGTTCTCAACTGCCAGAAACATAGGAGTCACCAATCTATTGCTTTTGTTAATCTACATATTAATTTCTTTACAGTGCC